CACCCATCGAATATCAATCAGCGTTTTACAAGCAAGGCCAGACAATCAGAAGTCATAGGATTTTTAAAGCCAAATCTCCTTTTCATTTAGCCGCGTACAATGTCCGCACACTGTATCAGATCGGTCAACAAGCTGCCATGGCTAGAACCCTCGAAATTTGTAATTTAGATATATGCTGTGCCTCTGAAACACGCATACAAGACCCCACTTCCAACTTCTCCCTGAGTTCTCCTGATCCAACCTCAACCTCATGCATCATCCTTCATGTGTTAGGCGATTCGGCATCCGAAGCTCGCGGTGTCGCTGGTGTCAGGATTGCGCTAAGTGCCAAGGTGGAGCGCTCGCTTCTTGACTGGATTCCAGTCAATATCCGACTGTGCGCCGTAGGTTTCAACGGTTCAGTTCGAGTCAACAGCTACAGAATGAAGCGTCGATGCTTATTCGTTGTATCGATAGTAGTACACATGAAATCAAGGATGAATTCTACAAGGAATCTTCTCGGTTACTCCGTAGTGTTCCATCAACGGACGGCGTAGTAGTCGCCAAAAACTTCAATGCTCAAGTGAGATCCCTGGACGAATCAGAAAGGCTTCTTGGCGGACCGCAGGCAATCCCAGCCAACCGGACGAACAACGGGGATCGCTTACTTCAACTCTGCGCGGACCACGGATTGTTCCTGTCAAACACGAACTTGTCACACAAAAAAAGACACCGCCTTAAATGGAAACCGCCAACCTCTTCACAGCGCTGGACCCAAATCGACCACATTACCATCAGCTACCACTCGAGGGGATCAATTCAAGACTGCCGCGCTTACTGGTCAACAGCTGTGAATACAGACCACGCCTTTTTACGAGCCAAATTCTCCTTACGCTTGGCAAACGACCGCAGAAAGGCCACCGATAACAGATACCCACGATACAGCGTCATCGATCGCTGCAAATCGGCCTTCGAAGCGGAGCTCTGCAATCGCCTGTCACTTCAACCACCAGTCGAAGGACTCAATGAACATTGGAGGTAAATCAAGGAAGCCATGCAAACATCAATAAAAACGTCAGACCCTAGCGCAGGTTCAAAACACAAACGATGGACCTCGTCAACCTCGGCTGCCCTGCTGGACTCCGGTAGAACCCTCCCTCCCGATGCCACCTATGACACAGCGCGCAAATCACTTAAACACCAGCTCATCAATAGTCTGAGGAATGACCGCGAGAAGTGGTGGGCAGATAAGTATAGAGCGACGGAGAAGACTGCGGTTATCCGTAACAGTCGCAATCTTTTCCGTCTAATTAGGAATACAAAACCAAGGAAAGTAGGCGTAAGTGAAGTAATTAAGGAATCCAGTAGCACACTGATTAACGATCAGCAACGCCGTCTTGATCGACGGGCTGAACACTTCAAGGCTCAGTTCAGCTGGCCCCCATCGACATCTGACCTTTCACCCTCGAATTTGACTGGGCAAATACTGCCATTTGATGCTAGTCCTCCATCTGAAAGCGGCTTTCGACTCAGTCGACCGCTCTAAACTCTGGCGCTGCCTTTCTCTGGAGGGTGTTCCCGAGAAGTTAATTTTAATATTACGATCGCTTTATACTAATAGCCGAAGTCGAGTCCAGGCTTACGGCACTTTTTCACCTGAATTCACCACAGAAAGTGGTGTTCGTCAGGGTTGCCTTGTCTGCTTTCCTATTCAACTTTGTTATAGATTTGTTTATGGAAACAGCCCTATCCTTGTGCAAGAATAGCGGCATCCATTTACTCCCAGGTGTCAGACTGTCTGATCTAGAGTAGGCAGACGACATTGTGCTACTAAGTGGAGATGCAGGTAAGTTGCAAGCTTTTTTGGACAGCATGAATGCCAGTGTAGCCATATTCGTTATGCGTCTTGCATCTTCAAAGTGTAAAATGTTACTACAAGACTGGGTTGGTCCAGCACCCAGTCTCACCCTGACTGGGGAAGTAATAGAGCAGGTGGATAAGTTTTGTTATTTGGGCAGCTACATATCACCCGGTGGACGCATCACGGATGAGGTGTCTGCTCGCATGCTGAATGCTCGGTTGGTATTTGTCAACGGTGACCCCGTCGCGACATCCGGTTGTCTGTGGAGGGTCAAGTGTATGTTGCGGCAGTTCGGCCAGTTCTGCTATACGGTGCAGGAACTTGACCATTGAGAAAACAGGACAAAGATAGGCTGTCGGTGTTTGAACGCCGCTGTCTACACAGCATTGCACGAATCTGGTGGGGTAGCCGGATGAGCAATGCTGAGGTTAGGGGCAGAGTTTTGGGTAAATACAGTCGCCCACTGGAGCAAGTGGTCGATTATTACGTTGGCTGGGACATGTGTTACGCATGTCACCAGGTCGGTTACCACGGCGAGCGATAATCGCCGAAGCAGATATCGAGTGGAAAAAAGTCAAGGGTCGTCAAGTTAAGACCTGGCACGAGGGTATGAAAACCCTAACCAGGAAACTGGGTCAGGTAGGTCCTGTTTGGCTCCCTGGCTGGGGACCTCGGGATGATCGTAACCGATGGTTAGAGACACTGAGCGATATGGTTGGGTGTTGTAAACAGTGGCGTTCTTGCATCTTCTCAAATTCTTTGCAACCTTAGTCCACTGAACTTCTCCATTTTCTTTTCGACTCCACTTTCAATTTTCCTTTCTCCTATTCTTCATCCAAATGGGCAGCCAAAAGACAGTAACCAAAGCCGGCGCACGAATACGCGTGGTTAACGGTTGTACAAACTAAACTGAACTGAACTCAGCCGCATGATGATTGCGTCCGTTTCAGAGAGTGCGTGAAAAATTCTTTTTTTGTCGTGCAGGAGTCTTTTCAGGATATATCAACAGCATGACAGAGGATTAAAGCCTAATCAATCCCGTGCTCGAATGTTACACTGGAGCAACCACAACTTCCAATAGATTAAGGCGTGAATTTATACCTGTAGTCATGCGGGATCGTAGAGACCTCCTCCATGGACGGTGAGACCAATCACCCGATTGAGAAATATAACATGTTTGCGCTGTCTACATAAGTGCCAGCAAAATGGTAGCCGAAACTATTACCAATTCGCTAAGATAATTGCAGATACAGAAAAATCTCAAAATAATGCCCGATTTCATGACAGGCATATACCGGTCCAACTCCCTCGTTGCTGCAATAGTGTGATCATTGAATTTGGAGCAGTATGAGATTTTTCCGATCGTGCATACCAGACTGGGAGCATGCTGAGGCAACCGTGGTTTAGCGACGGCATTCGTTGCATCCTCGTCACATTGGTTTTCTGACTCCAGGCAGAGCGAGGGAAGAATCCTGATATATAGACCAAATCAGGCTTCTTACGATCTTCTCGGATAGGTGATCACATAGCCTAGTGGATTTTTCGAGACATATGCAGTAATACTGACGTAAGACATATAGACTGCTATTGTGGAACGGTTCCACTGTATTGTAAAACTTCTCTCAGTCATTCCTGCGGGCTAACGATTGCACATTTATCGGCGATCAGCGAGTAACGGGTCATATGCTACGACGGAAAAATGTGGACTGTACGATTCCCAAATGGTTTCGCGGCGGTGATCACTATGCACTCACTGTTCATCAATTTTACCCTCGCCAAAAAAGAATAAATTCCTCCCATGAAAATAAACGGTTTCCTGAAAGAGCTCAGGTTGATGATTTTAGTATTTCACGCCTTCAAAACCCTTGCTTCAACACAATGACTCGGGCCAAAAGGAAATCTGCACCTGGGCCTAGAGGATGTTAAGCCACATTATTTTGAAACCAAAGAAGCAAGACTGTGGGGAGATGGGTAGCATTATTTAGCACATCACAGACTATATACTAAACAGCGCCTCGTGCAGTAAGTAGTATTTGGAGGGTTCGACATGCCTGGCTAGCGGAAAGAACAGCGAAACCGATAAATGTGCTTCCAGGAAAATTTTCTCGGGTCCTCCAGATACTATTTATTGTAAATTATTCTGTTCGAGAAACTTTTAGAGTCACTTTCGTTGTCCATGATATTGAATCATAACTTTGGATCATCGATAGACTGGTTGACGAGGACTTCTTCAAACAAACAAACAAACAAACCGGGTGTAGCAAATCAGACAGTCATCTCCAAAATACATGCAACCGAATCTCGAGCGAGAAATAGCTTCGTGTTTTAATGGAAGTCAAATAAATCAATCACAGCCACACGGAGAATTCGTTGTGTCAAAATCTATAGTCACTCATTACAAAAAAACGACGATGATCTCCCCATCAGNCGGAGTGGATGTCTAAGGTCGTGGCTGGTCACCCTTCCCTTACAGCTCGCAAAATACTCTCACTAGACCAAGCGTCTCGCATAGCCTCTACTGAGGAAGTCCTACTCACCGCCTTCTCGTGGCGGAGGTGTTTCCCATCAAAGTGAGAGAACGAAAAGTCGACGATCCGGTCTACAATCGGGTCGATGAATTACTGGCAATTCACCTAGGGGAGTTGGCTAAAAACCCTGATTCTAAACCATTCAACAGGAGGCGAACGAACCACACCCACACCTTCCTCGTCATACCAGTGGTTACCGGCTCACCTGAGTATCCTGGTGTATAAGACATGTTGAATGTTTGACCCCGTCCAAAGGGCGTATGATCCGATGAACT